AGTGCATAAACAGAAAGAAAGAGAGAAAGATATTAAAGATGAGTTACAGAATAGTAAGTAATGACCGGAGTCAGTGTGGCCGCGGCCATAGTAAGGAATAGTGGTCGGAGCCGTAATAAAAAATAATGACCGGAGTCATAGTGGCCGGAGCCAAAGTAAAGCATGTGACACTGGGTCACTGTGGCGGTAGCCGAAGTGAAACATGTGACACTGAGTCACTGTGGTCGGAGCCGAAGTAAAACGTGTGACACTGGGTCACTGTGGCCGAAGCCGAAGTAAAACATGTGGCACTAGGTCACTGTGGCCGGAGCCGAAGTGACAAGCATGACCGAAGACATCAGGTCGGTTGCCGAAGTAAAACACTTGTGCAAAATTTAAAATGGATAAAAGTGAGCAAGGGTAATGGGTTTAAGTGGACCCGTTTGAAAAGTCTGACAAGGAGGCAGTACATGACGCGACAGCTGTCCTCTGAATGACGTGTGTAATAAATGCCGCTGTAAAAAGATAACTGCAACAGTCCAATGGGCAGATTTAAAAAACGAACCGTCAAGTTCGAAATGGTGCCATTTGGGGTTAACCGTCGAATGCGAAACGGTGTCTCTGCAGCCGTTAGATGGAGTTAATCACAGCCGTTGAGGCGTATTTTACCTTTGGTATAAAAGGCTATACTTTTGTAAAAAGGGTTTTTACTCTCATTATTTTGCTACCAAATTTTTGTTAAATTTCTACGGTTTCGTGCGGTTTGCGCTTCGATTGAGACTTCAACAACAGTTTCCCAAGATCAAAATTAGGTAATGTTTATGAATATTTGATTTTGATTTTGTCGAAGTGCTATTCTCCTTTCTCTCTTTCTGTTTCTGATTTTGGGTTTTTTAAAGGAAATTAGGGTTGGGAGTGAGAATGTATTGAGTGTGTTAGCATTTTTAAGCGTCTTGACTTTGTTCCTCCTCCTACTTTATGTAGAAATTGAGGAGATGTCTTCAGAAGGGACTATGAGTGTAGTGGGAAGTGAGGTGATGCCCCTGGATTACGGTAGCATGGATTCGGAGAGCAGTCCGTCTCCATCTAGTTCGGAGAGGACGGTGGAGGAGAGAAGGGAGCGAGGGTAGTAGAAGAGGAGGAAGATGAAATTCCCTCCAATGTTATAGAGGTTGAGGGTAACGGAGATGGGTGCTATGACCCAGATTTAGACATTGTATTCGAGGTGAGGGGGTATGTGAGTGAATTGGGTAGTAGGAGTAGCCTCAAGGGTCTGGTAGGGAACTGTAGCCTTCCTCACCATGTCCTAATTAGGCCTGCCGAGGTGAATGAGAGAGCATGCTCAGCACCCCGAGACCACTGGATGCCCATGTATGTCTATTATTTGGTGGCAGGGCTTAGGTTTCCCATTCCAGAATTACTGGTTGGGCTATTGTTAGATTATAGTATAGGAATAACCCAATTAACCCCAAATGCCATAAGGGTAATAATAGGCTTTATTGTATACTGCCGAGCTCGGGAGGTTAGGGTCCCTACTATGAATATGTTTAAGCATTTTTTTATAATAAAGGCTGGGGGTAAGGGGGAGAAGGGGTGGTACTACTTCGGCCCTCGGTCGTCCAGCAAAGAGAATAGGAGTTTATTTACTTCTGGACCGTCATCCATCAAAGGATGGAAAGAGAAATTCTTCTTTGTGGATGACACCGAGTGGAGCAGGGGGGATGCCGAAGTAGAACAATTGTCTGCTTGGAAAGCTAAGAAGACCAAGCAGAACAATTATAAGTTGAATGAGGATGAGGTGGAGGAAGTAGGGAAGCTGGTGAGGGAAGAAGGGGATTTAGTGGATATTATGTACCTCACCAGCGCAGGGGCAATAAAGGCTGTTGAGCTCTATGGGCCAAGCTCATTGAGCGAAGGTTTGTGTATGTTTATTTTGTACAACTTAGGTGAGATTTCAGTTGGTGTGTTTTGACATTTATGTTTGTTTTGCAGCTGAAATGGACGGCTTTTTGAATGCTGCTGGGGGGCTGCCTATCCCAAAGAAGCCAAGGAAGAAGTCAAAGACTTCAACTGCGGCAGAAAAGGGGGTGGCAGAGAGGGAGCGGCTGTCCAGCACTTCTGCCCGGGCTTTGGAGATGCAACCAAGGCCAGAGCCTGCGATGGGGGGCAGTGAGGAGGTGAGCGAGGAGGTGGCACCGCTCCAGAGGAAGAAGAGGAAGGTGGCAGAACTAGAAGTTAGGAGGGATGAGGTGATTGAGTTCGTGCCTTGCCCTTCTCCTCCTGAAATTGATCCTGAAGTTAGGGAGAGAAAGGAGGCCGAGGTGCGAGGCCCTAAAAAGGGCAAGGAACTCATCCCTCCTCCTTCGTTCCAGAAGAGCTTGTTTGAGGCAACGAACACTACTGGAGCGAAGCGGTTCCTCAACGCCATGCTTCTTGAGGTGGATAGGAGGCAGGCGAGGCAAGAGGCGGTGAGCCACCTGGGTGCCCGCGTTGTAAGGCACACCTTGGAGGTATGTAAAGAAGTTGCAGTTTATTCATGTTCTACTTTTGATTTTATGACTTCTGCATTTGAGTTCTGACTTCTGTTTGCATTGCAGAGTGCGAGCTGGGTCAACGCTCTTGCGCATGAGTATGCAGAGAGCGTGAGAGATTGTGCCAGCTAGTAGAGGCAATGTGAGGCCCTGCTAAAAGAGAAAGAGGAGCTGCAGAAGGAAAAGGAGGAGCTGCAGAAAAGGAACAATGATATGCAGAGGAAACTGGATGAAGTGCTGCCATCAGTGACCGAACTCCAAAATGACAATGACACCTTAAGCACGAGACTCGTCTTCGAAGAACGTAAGAGGAAGATTTGTGAAGACAAGCTCGAGGCTCAGGACAAATACATTGACAACATGAAGAAAGGAGTGGCGGAGCTGAAGAAGAACGTGAATTTGCTGGTTCACAATGGAATGGAGGAGCACATTGGCAACTTCCTCAAATCTAGCACCTTCGAGAGCATCATCAACCTCTACCGGCTACCGACCGCAATGGTGGCCTTCACCGACTGTAGAAAGAAGGTGAAGGCTCAGTATCCAGAGGTGGACGTGACAACGGTCACTTTTGGGGAACAAGAAGAAGGAGTGGAGGAGGATGGTGAGAGCCTCTCTGCAGACTTCCGGCCTCTAATCAAGCTGAGGTGGGAACATGGGAATGTGACGTAAAAGGGCGTACTATCTTTCCTCCAGCCTTCGATGCTGAGTTGGTGGCCGTAGAGAAAGAGGAAGAAGTGCTAGATGCTGGAGAGGAGAACTAAGCAATTCCGGCCGAAGTCCAGCCTCCTCCTGAGGTGCATCCAGTTTCCTCTAGCGAAGTGCAGCAGATAGCTCCTTCTGAAGCAGAAGTGCCACCTCTGCCTGCTGGGGATGAGCCACCTCAACCACCTCTTCCTGCTGAGGAGCAACCTCCTCCCTCAGCAGATTAGCTTAGGATTTTTTGTTTTGTTTTTGTTAATTGTGTTTGTAATAAGCAACAATTTTGTAATTGATTTTCATTAATTTATAAAAATTTTTAAAGTTATTTGTGACTTGCATATTTTGATGTTTGTTTGTTGTTTTTGTTTCAAGTAAATCACTTCGGATAAAATAAAGTGACTTTAGTTAACACAAGGAACTGACCTCGGACACACAAGAAAATGAACAGCAAGGGAATTGACTTCGAATATCCATGAGGTATACCTCAAATATACAAATGAAAAAAGGTGAAGTAAATCACTCCGAAAGTGAAGTGTAATTAATTAATAAAATAGTATACCAGAAAATGAAGTGACTAAATACGCCACAATGAATTAACTTTAGAAATAAGTGAAATCCACTTCCAACATACAGTAGGGTAGAAAGAACTTAATCACTTCAAATGTGAAGTGAGATTCATTAAGGAGGTAAATGAATTGAGCTCGTATATACATTGAGCAGAAAAATGGAATAATGATGATTATAAAAATAAGACAAAGTTCACTGGAAAGAGGTGTATTAAGGGTAAAATTTCTTCAAGTTATTGACATTCCAAACTCTAGGAACCCTTTTGCCTTCGGTGTCCCGTAGGATATAAGCACTTGGGTGCGGCACTTCGGCTACAATGTAGGGGCCTTCCCAGTTTGGTGCTAATTTTTCGAATCGAGTTTTGAACCCCGTTAGACCAGCTTTCCTGAGAACAAGGTCTCCTACTTTGAAAGTTCGGGGTCGAACTCGTTTGTTGTAGAAGTTTGCTATTTTCTGCTTGTAGACTAGAGTTCGAAGTCGTGCTTTTTCTCTGACTTCATCAAGCAAATCAAGGTTCTCCCGAAGCAGTTCTCCATTTCGTCCTTCATCGAAATGGGTGACCCTGAAGCTTGGGACTCCTATCTCGATAGGAATGACTGTTTCGGTACCAAAGGCTAGATGGTAGGGTGTTTCACCTATTTTAGTTAATTAAAAGTTTAGAATGCGCTTTACGCGTTATGCATATTTGCTCTAAGGTAAAGCCGTAGAAGAAGAATTAAAATAATATGAAAGTTAATCAAGTAAACCAGGTTTGATGTAATACCTGTAGCAGTTCGGCTCGTGGTTCTGTATGCCCAGAGGGCGTTGTTGAGCTTGTCTGCCCACCTGGCCTTGTGCAACTCTAACCTGGGTTTTATCCCCTTGAGTATAACCTTGTTGACAGATTCTACCATCCCATTAGATTCCGGGTGGTACACCGAGATGAACTGTAATTTGATTCCATAACTAGAGCAGAAATCTCTAAAAGAAGAGCAGTTGAACTGAGTTCCATTATCAGCCACAATTCGATTCGGGATCTCATATCTGCAAATGATTGAGCTGAAAACAAAGTCTTCGACCTTCTTAGAGGTAAGACTGGATAATGGCCGAGCTTCCACCCATTTCGTAAAATAATCCACACCAACAATCAAATGGGTTACACCTCCTACCCCCTTCATAAATGGACCTAAAAGGTCAAGCCCCCACTGAGCAAATGGCCAAGGTTCTATCAGAATAGTGAGCTCTTCTGTTGGCTGGTGAATTAGGTGTGCAAAGAACTAACATTTCTGGCACCTCTGTACGAATTGTGTGGCATCTTTATACATGTTGGGCCAGTAATATCCTTGTCTAAGGACTTTATGAGCCAAAGTTAGAGCACCAATGTGACTTCCGCAGACACCTTCATGTACCCCCCGAAGTGCGTACTCAGCTTCATAAGGGTTCAAGCAGCAGAGCAGAGGGAGTGAGAAAGATCTCTTGTAGAGAACTTCATTAACAAGGGTGTACCGAGATGCTTTCTTCCTCAACCTCATTTCTTCCTGTTTATCTGTAGGCACTGTGCCATCTTGTAGAAGTGAGATAATTGGATCTGTCCAGCTTGGTGTGTTAGGATCTGTGCTGATCTCCATCATTTTTGGCTTTACGAAGCTAGGCTCGTCCAGAATTTTGACGAAGACTGATCTGGAGCTTTGGTTGCCATTAGAAGCAAATTTGGAGAGGGAATCTGCTTGTCATTTTCAGCTCGGGGTATTTTGCTCAAATGGAATTTCTGGAATTTGGATTTCAGCTCAGCCACTAGGGTTGCATACTTCATCATAACAGGATCAACCACTTCACAAACTGAGTTCACCTGATTGACTACTAGTTGTGAATCACTGTATATTTGTATCGCTGCAACTTTCAGTTCTACTGCCAACTGTAAGCCAAGTATCAGAGCCTCATACTCAGTCATATTGTTGGTGGCATCAAAATTAAATTTCAAAGCATGTTCACTTCAGTACCCATCTGGGCCAAGTAGGATCACACCAGCGCCAGAACCTTTGTTACTTGATGCTCCATCAACATACAGAATCCAGCTATCCAGCTCGGACTGGGAACCAGAGCGAGCCGAGGTGCATTCTACTATGAAATCTGCAAGAGCCTGAGCCCAGATTGCTGACCTCTGCTGGAATGTTATCTCAAATTCTCCCAGTTCAACTGCCCATTTGATCAATCTTCTTGAGCATTCTGGCTTCTGCAAGATTTGTCTGAGGGGTTGATCCGTGAGAACTATGATCGGGTGTGATTGGAATTACGGTCTCAGTTTTCTAGCCGAAGTGACAACTGTTAGGGCTGCTTTCTCAGCAATAGAATATCTGATTTCAGCTCCATGTAACACGCTACTAGTGTAGTAAACTGGCTTCTGTTGCTTTCCCTCTTCTCTGACTAGCACAGAACTGATGGCTTCATCTGATATGCCGAGGTACAGGTAAAGGATTTCTCCATCATTGGCCTTTATCAGCAAAGGGGGTGAGCTAAGATAAGACTTCAGCTCGTCAAAAGTAGCTTGGCATTTTGAATTCCATTCGAACTTCTTCTGTTTGCCAGATTCATCCTTCTGGGCTACCAATCTCATAATCTTGAAGAACGTCAGGCATTTATCTGCTAATTTCGAGATGAATCTATGAAGAGCTGCGACTCTCCCTGTCAACCGCTGTACATCTGTCACTGACTTCAGTGGTTCCATCTCGGCTACTGCTTTGATCTTCTCGGGGTTAACCTCAATCCCCCTTCTGGACACCATGAAACCTAGAAATTTTTCAGACTCCACGCCGAAGATGCACTTTGCTGGATTTAACCTCATTTTGTTCTTTCTGAGATTGTTGAATGTCTCCTCGAGGTCGATTAAGTGATTTTCAGCTTTCAAACTCTTCACCATTATATCATCAACATAAACTTCCAGATTTCGGCCTATTTGAGCTCGGAATACGATGGTAACCATCTTCTGGTAAGTGGCACCTGCGTTCTTCAAGCCGAAAGGTATCATCACATAGCAATAGATCTCATCGCCGGCATAGAACAAGGTTTTTTCTTCATCTTCAGGAGCCATTGGAACTTGGTGGTAACCAGAGTATGCATCCAAGAGACTTAATCTCTCGTTTCCGGAAGCTGCCTCAACCAGCTTGTCAATATTTGGCATTGAGTAACAGTCTTTTGGACATGCCTGGTTGAGGTTAGTGTAATCGATGCACATCCGCCATTTGCCATTTGCCATTTGCTTTTTTCACCAACACAGGATTGGCGACCATTCACAGTAATCGACCCGTCTAACAAAGCCAGCCTATAAGAGTTTTTCAACTTCTTCTTTGATGACCTTTAACCTCTCCCCCCCAAAGAGGCGTCGCTTCTGGGCCACTGGTTTCTTGAGTGGATTGGTGTTGAGCTTATGTTGAGATATTGACGTTGGAATTCTTGGCATGTCTACCGAAGTCCATGCGAAGACATCATTGTTAGCTCGGAGAAAAGCTATTAGCTCTGCTCTTTCTTCCGGGTTCAATCGAGTTCCGATTTGCGTCTTTCGGCTTGGATCTCTGTCATCAATATGCACTTCCTCGACATCTTCGACTGGAGCAACCCTGGTTTCATCGTCTGGTTGATTATCTACTATTTCAACACCCATGACTTGTTGATTATCAGGAATTCGTTGGGGGATGACCTCGGGTGTTTGATCTTTGCCCTTCTTAGGTTGTTTTACCGAGGTGATATAGCAATGTCTAGCCACCTCCTGGTTGCCTCGCAGTGTTGCTATTCTCATAGGAGTTGGGAACTTCATGCATAGGTGAGACTGGGAAACCACAGCTCGGATTTCAGTCAGTATGGGTCGGTCAATAACAACGTTGAAAGAAGATGCCATCTTGACTACTAGAAACCGGACTGAGGGAGTCACATAGGTTTGGCCACTCTCAAAAGCAACATGGAGGGTAAGAACTCCTTCAACTTGAACTGGCTGGTTGTTGAAACCATAGATGGGACCATCATATCTCTGCAACAATGCTGGATCCAATCCAAGACTCTCAAAACAATGGAAGTGCATGATGTCTGGTGCACTCCCAATATCAACAAGGACACGTTGTACTTCACAATTGTTAATCATGACAGAAGTGACTAAAGGATCATTGTGGGGTGTAACAACTGTGTCAAAGTTAGCAGATGTGAAAGTAATGGGTTGATTCTTCCAATCAGCGTCGTCAAACTTCCGTTTCTAAGCTCGATTTTGATGCTTAACCTCTCTGACATACAACTTTCGCTGTTTAGAGCTTAGTCCACCTACTTCTAGGCCTCCCGTAATCATGTGTATGATTCTAGCTAGTGGTGGGAGCGGAGGTGGGGCTTGCTGATATCCCACACCTTACCTGTTTGGTGGGTTGCAGACTCCTTGAGGCTGTGGCCCTTGTTCCCTGACAAACCTTGGCTGTTCAGCTCTCTAGATGTACTCATTCAACATTCCCTTCTGAGCCAAACTTTCCAATTCGGACCTCAGACTGTTGCATTGCTCTGTTGTATGACTATGATCTTGATGAAAATCACAATATCTACTATGATCTCGGCTAGCAGCAGCAGTTCTCATTTGGCCAGGACGCCTTAAATCCATCTTGTTTTTAATCTGCATGAAAATTTGTGACCTCGGCAGATTAAAAGGAGTCCAAGTAACTGGGGGTTTACCTGCAGACTATTGTGGAGGTGCTGTGTTCGGCCTTCCGAATCTCGGTGTGGAGGTCGACATCGAACCTCGGTTCTGTGCCATCCTCATCCTTTTCCTGCTCGGATTCTCATCTCTCCAGTCTAAGTTTTGGTTCTTATAGGGAGTTGGGTTCTGCGATAGGGCATATTCCTCAACAGTTATAAATTTCAAAGACCTATCATTCACCTCACTAAAGGTGGTGGCAGGGTGTTTGATCAAACTGTCTCGGAACCTATCATGTTTAAGACCTGAGATCACAGCTGCAATCCCCACAGCCTGGTCGAAGGAACTAACCTCCAATACTGCATCATTGAATCTACTCATATAGTTCTTCAGAGATTCTCCGTCCCTCTGTTTAACTCGCATCAACTCAGAAGTAGTTTTCCTGACCAACCTTCTATTGGAAAACTTAGTGGCAAAAGCAGATGCCATTTCGGTATAAGAGCTGATCGACCTCAGAGGTATACTGTAATACCAAGTTCGAGCATTTCCTCGGAGAGTAGAGGGGAAGATTTTGCACATCAACGTGTCAGAAACGTTCTGAGCTTGCATGCAAGAGTAGAAAGCATGTAGGTGATCATCGGGATCCTTTGTCCCATCATAAGTCTCAAGTTGTGGTATCTTGAAGCCAGCGGGGTAGGGTTCCAGAGTGATGTTGGTGTTCAGAGGGTGGGGTATGGAGTCAGCAGGATGGTGTGGAGGTGGGGCACCTCGCTGTTCAACCACTAGCTTTTCTAAGCTATCTAGACGTCGAGTGACATCATCAGGAAGGGGTTGCTAAGCTGGTGCTATGTGAGATTGACCCTGAGATTCACTGAGAGTAGGAGCATGCTGAACTGGTTCAGGGTTTTGCTGTGGAGCTGGGGGTTATGGAGCAAGGTTAAGTAAATTAATAAGGGGATCACCAGGGTTATTCCGAGCTAAGAGCTGAGCCAATACTAACTGAAAAACACCAAACTGTTGTTGCATGGCAGCAAGCTGAGCTGCAACTACGTCTTGGTTGGCGGTGGAAGTTGAGTTGTGAGCTGAGTTATGAGGTTGGTTTTCATCTCCTCCTTCTACATGATCAACAAGAGGGAACATATTTGGGATTGGAGGTGGAAGCTGAGGTGGGAGGTTGCTAGGGACCTGACCTCATCCAAGAGGCTGAGATGAGTTTCCAGCTCGGATTGACCGAGTATTAACCATGATAAGAGCAACAAGGGAGCTTTCAGTTCGGATTCCCACAGACGGCGCCAAATGTAATTGCACCAAACCAGAAGCCCTTCTTCAGTCCACATCTGTGCTCCGGATTAACCTGCAAAGCCCCGAGATGGATCTCGGGGTAGACACTCCGATGCTTAAGTCAGCAATAATCGGGGCTACCTATAGAGCAGAGATTAAATGAGCTTAGGGTTGGTTTCAATTACCTTTTTGACGTGGCCCCCGGGGGGTATTTATAGGCTCCAGTGAGGAACCCACGTGGTATGCCAAGCAAGATAGTTGGAGCCTGATGTGTATCCGAATGGTTATTTCGGGACCGGGAATTTAAGAGATATTCGGATGCAAGGACGTCCATCATAGCTGCTGTACTGCTCATTATAAAGAATCAGGTACGGACATGCTTACTGTTGCTGTCATACAGCTATTTGAGCAAGAATTTTTGGATTTATCCTTTACTTCGGTCATAAAAAAATTACTGTTGTGCGTCCGAGGTTAGGCACCTCGGACCTGCCGTTACAACAAGTGTCTTTTTCTTTTTGACCATCTTTTATTTTATGGGGTGTCGGGTACATCAGGTGTCTACCACATTTATTCATAATTATTTTTATCATTTATATATTTTCAATTATTTATCTCTTCATCGATCACTTTTATTATCATCTATAACTTTATTTTTATTTTTATTTATTTATTTTACATACCTTATTGCAATTCTGAGTGTAATTTAAAATTTTGATTTAGTTTGCATGTTATAAATTGCTTTTTTGGTTTTCATTTTTATGTAGCCAGTCCAATTGCAAATTACATACAAAGCCGACTTCCCATATCTATAAGTCAAATTCTTTAGTGCAGGACAGTGACAAAGTTAGATTAGAATAAATATCCACATGACTAATAGATTCTACGTTTCAATCAGGCAAAATTTTGTATTAAGCTTACCAATTTATTTTAGATTTTTTATTAAATCTTTAAATTGTTATTAAAGTAAATAAATTTTTAAATTTAATAATTTAAATAATTTAATTATAAATTTTTTAAAAAATAAGAGGATTTAAGTTTAAATTGTATAATATATAAGTGAGGTAAGTTAAACGGT